CAAGGGATAATTAAAGCCCTGTCATTTCTCAAAATAGCCACTGTCTCCTCTTATGAAACCAAGACTGGGGGAGGCAAAATTTCAGTGCTAAAGGTGTGTCATTTTTGCATCCTTTGCATGTTGATTAACACTCTTCCAGCAAAAACAAAATACAGCCCAGCTCTGTTTCAGTGCAAATAACATCAGTCAGCTCAAGTCTCTCTCTGCAATGAATTAATCTAATCTTTTTGCCTCTGTGCTGACATAGATGAAGAGCTGTCACAGGGACATGTAATTCATTTCAGGTGAAGGATTATAATAAACTGACAAGAGGCGCTAACCTCTTAAAACGCCACTGCTCCTTTGCAAGTGAGTGACTGACTGCAGGCTCAGTTTCTGTGTGGTTCACTCCATTATTTTCCATCCATACCATCTTCAAGGAGGAAACACACATCTTCTCTGTGGCTTAGGCATGTGATTTTTGCTTGTAAATGGTCCTGACCTTGGCCAGTGTATAACAGGTACAGAAAGCAGAGCTGATGTGTAGCCAAGCATATTCTGCAGGCATGTCCTACTCATAACTCTTGGCTGAACACTGCTAGGTAGGAATGCAGATGCCTCTTAAAACTCAGGTCAACAAAAGCAACAAAATTTTCCTGGACTTTTCTTAGTGTAAAACGATTACAAACATTACTCTATTATATTTGGATTTGTTTAAGAATGTATGTTGCATTCCACAGAAGTCATGGTTTCAGTGTTCTGTATTTTCCATCTCACTGTTAATTATTAAGAGGACCCTGATGTTCATTTTCTGTGATACTAAAAAGAAATGCACTTTCCAGCTACTGTTATACATTTGTAAAAGAGACTTCAGAATTCTCTGTGATTACAATAAAGGAATTTGCAGGTGCTTGGGCAGCCTGAGTATACCCAAAAATATAATAAACTAGACAATCAAATAAATATGTCTGGTGTTCTGGGTTAAAAATATGTATTTTGAAGAAAAATTACATGAAGATTAAAATGCAAGCTAAAAATAGCACCAGCAAAAAGCATATTAAAAGAAAAAAAGGTGCAATGCATTTTCCAGCTTTGCAAAGTATATGATAAATTGGAAAGGAGAGTGGGGAAAAGTGAATGAGTTACTTAAAGGTCAAGTGCAACTTCGGGGCTGTAACCATATTCACCTTTGGTTATGTTTCCTCTTGAACTGGGGAACTTCAGAAGCGCAGACTGGTGACTGACGTTGTGCAGACAGAGAGGCATTAAGGCTTCTTAAGCTGATTTTGATGATATTCAGCTATTTGACAACATTCTCCCCTCAAAATACTTGGCAATCAGAACAAAAACAAAGAGGTTTTCTTTTGCAGCATGGCTTCCTGGGCAATTGTCGGTGCTTTTAGTCTACTAGAATATCCTGAGCAGTAATCCTTTTCACTTTTACTTCACTCCTTCCAGTCCAGACTTGGAAGATTACACAAAGGAATTTTCACAGTCTTTCTGAGGGAATAATACTACATATCCTTATACAGAGAGGAAAAGTCAACAGGTTAAATGTGTTGGTCATTGGATTGAGCTAGAGCCTTACATAGGTAACACCCTTACTATATTGACATCTCTATGCGCCTACTAAACGTTCTCCTGTGCTGACAGCAATGGAGTAGGGGCTTTGCTGTATCGGTCCACTGTTCTGACCACAAAATCACATTTTTCCCAGTGTTTCTGCAATTTTCTACTGAAAGTGTTCATTTTGTAATGCAACAAGTAAACTGCACTCAAGTAGATACACTCTAAATCGTGCATGTATTTAAAAGGTAAAAAATGAACTGGCAGAAAGATACCTGTGTTGAAACTGTAGTTTCATAGATACCTTAAAATAACAGATTTATAGTGGACATTGACTTTCAAATGTTGTTAGTCATGACAATCTATTCTTTCTTACATACAAGCTACAGTATTTATGTAAGGTTACAAATTTTCTATTAAACCAGTATTTGAGCATACAGAGCTCTGAAGGACCCTTCTGTAAACTAAAACTAAATCTCTTTTTCATGGTTTTACTACTGCTTCTTCAACACAATGTCAATCATTCTTGTCTCAGCGGTCACTAACCAGATTATTTGTGTGTTTCCACAATGCTGCATCACAAAACATCATGCCCACTTGCCTCAAAAAGATAATATCTAACACATATGGAGACTGCCTTTGATCTCCACGGTCTATCTAGAGGTCACAGACCTGTCTTCTCCTCTCCCACACTTCAAATAGCCCCTTTCATTTACTGTGAAACTAAACATTGGAAAGACAAAGGCAAGAAAATAAAGGCATTGATTTAGTAGCACTTATATGTTTGGCTATTTCAAGGTAGATTTTACTCTCTTAGGTCACATTATTAATTGCCCTGCATTTCTGCATCATGGCATACTGTATTTGTTTTCATGCATGCAGCCTTCAAAATTCAAGCTGCTATTTAAATCAATATGTGCTTTGTTCATAACTTAATAACCATTAAGAGTCTACTAATCAATTTGCAATAGTCAGCACTGAATCCAGTTCTGTGGGAGCTGCATGGGAAAGTTTGTTAATTTTACTTTTGAAAAATAGATTTTTATTTATCAATGTCAATTTGTTAATGCAAAAGGAGTACATTGGGTGATATTTTAAATTATTGTGAAGATAAATCTGGATGGAAGGGTGAGGGGAAAAAAGTGACTCCATTAGAAATTGCAAGGGTCTTAGAGAATAAAAGATTGTTCCACTCTACCTCGAACTATTGGTGAAGGATTATGTGGCAAATGATTTCATAGAAATTGCCAAAGGAAAACATTTTTTTCAGATGCAAAAGTCAGACATATTTAAGTCACAACCATTTTTGTTTTTACTAAAGGCTGATTCAGAAAAGCATGTAGGTACCTAAAGAAGGAACTGAGCAACATGTAGTCACGTGTTACTCAAAATCACATGTTCAAAACTCTATTCTTGAAATGGCTCTACCATAAAGACCTCTCAATATTGACCCTACTGCTCTGCAGGCACTCCAATTTCTCCATATTCTCACTCTGATGCTCATAACATCCTCAGGTATCACCACTCTAATTACTTATGATACTCAGTAGACATTTAAAAACAAGGAGCTTATCTGCCTGACTCCTTTCAACGTGTCAAGTCAGTAAAAATTTTCTAAGCACATTTAAAGAATGAAAATTTTGCAGAGAGTATTGTAACAATTACTAACTTTTTTTTCTTCTTAAATATCTAGGGACCAGGGTAGTCATCCAAATTCTATTATCTTCAGTGATGGAAGAATTCAAACTTCCACAGAAGAAGCCCTAGATGTGAGGTCACTGCATGTATTGTAGGAAATTCAGCATAAATGCTGTTCCTCTTTGCCATTAAAATGTAAGAGGCAAAGATACCTGCCGTCTTAGAGGCAAAAAGATCTCTATGATCTCACAGATTAGTGGCTAGGTCATTCAGAGTGTGCATAGCAGGGAAGCCCTGGTTCTAGGTCCACCTTCTCTTGCAACTATTTGGGGATTATTTCTGCATTTTATGTTAAATCTCTTTACAAAAGCTCTGGTATTGAGATGATTTCCACTCCTCTTAGCTGAATATGCACTCTGTCTTAGGAGTTTGTTTTGGCACCATCAGAAAGTATTTCCTATGCAGTCGACACACGAAACAGGAGAAGTGAGGTCCAAAATAGCCTCTGGGTTCAGGGAACACTTCAGGGAGACATTCAATGAGAGACAGCCAAAGAGGGTGAATCTGAACATCTGGACCACTCACACCTTGTATGATGGCTTCAGTAACTAGAATATTAATTATGAGCTGTGTCTATCCAACTTTTTTCATCAGCTCATTTTTCAAGATAACTATTATATTTCTCAGTCTGACTATAAAAATAAGTGAGGTCTCACCTTTGGAAAAGATATTGTACTAGGATCCCAAGTAGAAGGCACATTATTTAGGAAGATGGTGAGATTTAAAATGCTCCCGAATGTTTTCTTAAATTTATTTCCTGCTCAGAAGGATGATAATCTTCATTCCTGTCCACAGGTGTCTGTGTCTCCTCTGAAAATCAAGCACCTGGCTCAGAGAGCTGGAACACATCTGGGAGCAAGTGTCCTGGAGCAAGCACGAAGGATTAAACATTGCATCTCCTTCGTGACATACTGCATCTACTTATAAGGGATGGAAAGAAAGATGTACATATGTAAAGCTGTCAGAAGAGAGCTGTATTTGTGTGTACTCTCTGCAAGAAACTGCTTTACACCAAAAAAATCAAAGAGTCTCCTCAGTCAGCAATGTTCTAGGATGGAAAAAAAAGACATTACTTTGTGTACATGTAGATATTTCTCTTTGTACACACGCACCCCATCCTTTACTTGAAATTTCCCACTTCCTGAGCCTCCTTATTTATGTACAGCTGGATACAACTTTAATCCCCTTGGTCAACCAACAAACCAGATTTACTTCTGATAGTGTGTCACTAACCTTTTGGGAAATTTTGTGGGATGTAATTCTAAAGCTAGATAGAATTGGAAGTATGTTAATCTTGTCTCTGTGGCTATAATAAATTTCAGATGCATTTCTTTTTCTTGATAGAACTAATTATTCTTTCATTTACATCAGATATCTCTTGTTAACTATTAGTCAATATATTTCTGAGCCTATTACTTCTGTAATTAAGTCAGGGAAGAGGTGTTAGCAGTTGATCCTAATGATCTTGCTACACACTGACAAACTTTGCTGATGAAAGCAAAATCTCAAGTAACATTAATACTTTAAGTGGTATAGATTTTATCTGCAATATTTAAACACATTAAGGGAATGGCTGAAGAAATAGTCGATGAGTTTCAATGTGAGCAAATGTTAAATGATGTATTCATAAGCTAAAAATAGTAGCACTGCCTGTACATTGCTGAGTAAAGAGTGGAATGCAGAGATAAAGAAGGGAACTGAGTGGATTGGAAAAGTAGGTACATGAGGATGGAGTATGTTGCTCAGCTGCACTAAAAAAGATTAATAGGATAAGAAGAGAAGCTCTGCTTGGAGAATCTTTCTCTGAAGTTTTTGGATCCAGATTTGGCCTAATGAAGTGTGAGAAAGCATCTGCAGAAGGACTGGAAACTGAGCAGAGGTTAGTGAGGCAATGACTGATTTTTTAGAGTTTAAGCCTAATATGCAGATTATATCCAAGGAAAAAGTAACAAAAATAATTAAAGTCATGGGAACTGGAGAGACCTCAATATGCGGAAAGATTAAATATGCTACGACTATTTTGTTTGGAAAGTAAAAGGAAGTAGGACATCAGAATTAAAAATAACAATATCTTGAAAGCAATGTAGTCTTTCCAAAATGTAAAGAATGAAAAATAATTAAAGGGGAACAGATAAAGAATAGTGAGCTTAATATGTTATTTATGCAAATAACAAAATCAATTCCCTATTTTAGAATGTTATTTTTAAAAGTTTCTTAGTAAAATCAGAAAGAAAAATAGACATATGTGAAAAATGTTTCTTGAGCCACAAGGACAAAAACAGAAAAGACAGGCTTTTTTTCTCCTTGCAGGAAAAGTGACATTTAAAGGCAGTTTTCAGCATGAGATGACATTTTGGAAGACAACAGAGCTTCAGGAAGTAAGGCCAACATTCACATAATAGCAATTAACTTTCTCATGACCTAGGAAATGCATCCTTTCATGCTGTGGGTTATTCAACACAGATTAAAACTAATTTTTACTTTTATTTAGTTAATCTAGATGCTATTTAGACAGCAAAAGCTTGCAGCCATTGCTGAAAAAAGAGTGACAACATGCAGGAGGAATCAAAATGATATCTGTAAGCCCTTTATATTTTCCTGATAGCTTCCTGAAAGGAAAAAGTTCAATAATGAAAATAATATCCCAAGACTAATGAAAAAAGACAAAATAAATTGATTTTCCATACCAGAAGTGCAAATCTAAAACCTAAACTTATATTAGGTATGTTCAATATCAAATACACAAAGTGCCTCGGACCAGCTGCATGTGGTTTGAGATTGTCTGTAGGAAGTTATTTCCAGTAGCTTTAATTCATATGGGAAGGTCACCTCCTCTGGGAATTATGCTATACAGTGTTAAGCAGAAACCCTATGCATTTCTCTGCCCACTGCTGGAAGCAAAAAATCAGCTGTTTTGGTGCCATTACTGAATTATCAGTATCCCACAACTTATTGTCCGCACACTTTTGCAGTTTTGGCCTTGCATGTGCCTATTTTGTGTGCCAGAGCAGCAGAAGCTCTGTCTCTTACAGATGACAGCTGGAGGACTTACTCCTGCTTTGGCTGCTAGGTGCCACATTCTGACAACCTTTTTTACAGTTCCATTTACAGAGGGAAAATTAATTTAACTAATTCATGAACTTTGCAGAAGAACCACAAACAGCAACACACCATCCATGTGTGACCAAGTGACACCAATTCTCTCGCTGCTTTGTGGCTAAGACAGAAAGCAGCAAAATTTCTGTGAGAAGGGGTTCAGTTTTCAAGGTGAGGAGGGCACAGTGTCCCATTACAGTTATTAGCATGTGCCAACTACTATGGGCATTGGTGCCTTGCTCATAAGAAAGTGAATAGCAAAAGTCAAAAAAGAATATGTCTCTTCTTTTTGCTCCTGTGACTTTCTATGTCAGCAGCTACGTCAAATTATTGCTGGGTTTGTTTCAATCCTTCCCTCTCTAGATTTGTTTTTTAGTACTGTAAAAGAAAAATCTTGAATCATTTTAGGCTCCTTTCCCATTGGAATCAGTCTTATGCAATTACAGTGTCTCTGTGTGAATGCATGTTTAGATCTATATTTCTGTCTTTCTCCTTTGCAGAGTAGCTTCTGCAACAGCTGCCTGATTTCAGCCAAGCCTGGCAAATGAACAGTACTCTTTTGATAATTAAGTTCCCGCAAATATCATATGCAGATAGAGGAGGAAGGCCTGATAAGTCATAGCCTCGTTCATGCATCACCCACTCTGCAGTGGGGTCCTTCACAAGCTGGAGATGGATATCTGCTCCACCATGGACCTCTGTGGGCTGCAGGGGGACAGCTGCCTCACCGTGGTCTTCATGATGACTGCAGGGGAGTATCTCCTCTGCTGTCTGGAGCACCTTCTCCTGCTCCTTCTTTCACTTTGTTTTGTGCAGAGCTGTTTCTCTCATGTATTTTTCACTCCTCTCCAACTGTAGTTTCTGTTGCACAGCAACTTTTCCCCCTTCTTAAATCTGTTATCCCAGACGCACTGCCACCATTGCTGACAGGCTTGGCTTCGACCAGCAGCAGCTCTCGTCTTGGAGCTGGCTGGCATTGGCTTCATCAGACACGGGAGAAGTCTATGGCAGTCTACAGCCACACCTGTAGTTCCCTCTGCTATCAAAACCTTCCCACGCAAACCCAATACAGGCTGAAAGGAGCCTTGAGGCTCATTGAAATGCACATTGAAATCCAATGAGCCTCTTGGCTCATTGAAATCCAGAGGATGGTGTCATCTTAAGGAAGGACTTTGGCTCGAAAGGTCAGTGACAGACAACTGCCAGGATACACTTGATCTGCACAGGAGCAGCAAATGAGACATTATACTGACTGCCAGTGCAGAATTGAGACCACTTTATGGTGAGACCCTCTCACTCCCACCACACCCTTGGGTATACACTGTATGTCTCCAGGGTGGGATGAATGGATAGGTCTGGGCTGGGCTGCTGCTCTAGGCAATCATGCCATATAACACCTGTCAGAAACTAAGCAACACTTTTAAATAATACTACACCATTTCAGCCAAAATATATTAAAGACCAATTTGTGCATTTATTCTTGTGGCAACACCATTCTTCTCTGTTCTGCCCCCCCCCATTTCTGATGGATGGCTTGTCAAAATCAGCTCCTACATATGGAGCTAAATATTTACATGGGCAAAGATTGCCCTGAGTGGCTGCACACTCTTTCTGTGATCATAGTTATTAAGACTTAACAGCAGATCTGTCTGAACTTCCTGAAATGGTAAACTGAAGAGGGAACACTTGAAGGCCTAAAATGATAGTCCCCCTTTCTAGCACATGATTGTCATTAAAAAAATATTTAGGCAGCCTCAATGAATGACCTGACGTGAATCTGCACTCCAAACAAGTGCCTGGAGTGGTACCTGTCAGGTGATAGATATGTCTCAATTTCAGCCGTGGGATGGGTTCACTCCTGATTGTGATAGGGATGGCCACTGGCTTCTTGGGAGAAGAACAGCAGTGAGCAGGCTATAGGACATCCTAAACATCAGCAAGTTATATCAATACACTAACACTGGGATTCCTCCTGCAGCCTTCTGCTTTACTTATAATGGCAGACAAAAAACCCCCAGAAACACGCCCCATATTGCAGCTCATAATACCCATTTTAATAGATGATTTAGAGGTTTTTAACAGCTTCTTCTTCCCTATTTTAATGAGAAGAGAGAAGACCAGCCTATCTCCCCTTTTATCTTCCTCCTTGAATGTAAAACGTTGTTCCTCTTCCTATCATAAAGATTAAAATATGTTGTTGTTGGCTAAGAGACTATTATTCCATAAATGACACCTTTGCTTTCCCTAGTTCTTGACATTCTGCTATCCTCAAAAGAGCATTTTCATTAAAACTAGCAAAGAGGAATCGTTATTTTTACCATTCTAAATAAATTCACCATTTCAAATATTGATAGAAATTAAGAGGACTTCTCTTTATTTTGTAACTCAGCAAGTAAAAATTTGGTTCTGAAGTAGGTGAGCACATTTTACAGAACTACTCACCATAAATGGTTCACCCCACCTCCCATCCCAAGAAAAAAGTAGCCATTGATAAATAATTTTCCCATAGCTACAAAACTGATTTGTACAAGTTAAATTGTTCAAGGCTAATCAGGCTAATCTGAGGGAGAGGAAGTTTACCCTCCATTTCCCAACAGATTCTCTTTAATTTTGCAGTCACATTGACAGGTGGCCTCATCACTCAGGCATTACAGACCACCTTGAAGATATCAGCACCGTTGGCCTTTGAAGTCAGAATAATCAACAAGCCATTTGATACTCTATCAGATGAAATGGCCCTGTCAGGAAAGGCCGGCTCTCAGGTGTACTGATTGTCTATGTAGAGGAGATAACTTGATACAGTTTACTACGGTACAGATTCACAGACCTTGTGGGATGCTATAACAGATGTCTTTTTAGATGTACTTCTTCATAATGTCTCTTAAAAAATATTCCCAAGCCACTTTTAGCAGAAATTATAATACTCCAATTTCCTGTCTACAATATTCCCACAATACTGCGCAGATAGGCAAATGCATTAGCTATGGTTAAGATCACAGATGCACAGATTCATGTGACATATCCATGTATAAATCCTGTCAAAGTCTTAATTCAAATATTGTATAGTAGACATTATTAGGAAAGTCTCTATTGCTTTACAATACTTAACATTCTGGAAGCTTTCAAAATCCAGCACAATATTATTTTCAGAAAAGAACAACTTTTTTATTTTCTTCACGACTATCCAGGATAATAGGACTTTTTCCTCATGTTACTTTGATATGTCGTTTTCTTTGATTCCAATAATAGTGTATATCTTAAACAAGATGAATGATTTAAAACAAACCAAACTTTAAAATTATTACCTTAAATTCCACTTTCACATGTCTATATAAATTTACTTTCTAGAATTAAATATTGGCTGCAAAGATTCAAGCACTTTGCAAATCTGTAGGACACTGAGATTGAAAAGCACAAAGTTTGGGATTTTTTTTTTCAGTTCTAAAAAAACTTTCCGCTGCTGAGGCATAAAAATTAAATTCTTTCTCAAAACTATTATTTTGCAATGGTCCAAAATCATGGGAATCGTTTTAAAAAAAGTTAAAGATCATTTGTTTGTTTTTAGGGTAAATTACAGTTGAAAGCAAGAAAAATAAAAAAAAAAAATTATGCCAAAAGGCATGGTAAACCTCTTTTTTTTTAACAGAGCCTTTGACTAATCCGTATGATTTACTTGTGCAGAAGTGAATAAAAATATTTGTTTCAACATTAACAGTAAGTCTAGTTTATGTCAGGGGTTGAGAAAGTTATGCTATGGCTTTGTCTATTCACATGACAGGCAGGAAACTCATTTCCATGAAAGACCCTGGCTTGTTCTAGTAGTAATTATTCATCAGAAACAATCACAGAATGTTCAGTCGGTAGTAAATGGTCTATTTGATATCATTAGAGCAGCCCAAGGACTTAGAGCCACCCCTTTCTTAGTGTGCAGGTGTGTTAGGTCTCGCTGTCTGCACGCAGGAGCGCACTGCACTCCCTGGCACAGGACAGCTGCTCTGATTTATCAGACCTTTGGAAACAGTATTGCTCCTGTCATTGACACATAATCCCTTAAACTTGCTTGACAGCTAAAGCCTGAAGCAACACCACTGGACAAATCTTCAAGTATCAACTTTGGTGCTGAGAAGGAGTACAGAAAGAAAAGGAAAGGAGGAAAACTGGAAGGGGGAAAAAGTGGACTTTAAATATAGTTCACTTTTCTCGGGGGAAGATTAACAACCATTTTCATTGAGCTGCTTTAATGATTGTTAAGCAGCTCACTTCTGTTAGTAATTATTCTTCA